TGATGACAAAAATGGAAACCCACCAACAGTGGTAGGAGACCTGAAGTGTGCACATTGGCAGAGTGACCCGATGGAGACAGCACAAGTGGGAGCCGTACATGGGACGCCATGACAGATAACGGGCCCTTGCAGCAGCAAAGGAGGGTACCAGGGGCCCATGGCAGATTACGGGCCTGGCAGCAGCCACCAGCAGTGTGTGAGGAGACCTGAAAGTGGCACATGGCAGAGTGCCTGGCGAAGCCAACAGCAGCAATGGGAGGGCCGTACAGGGACGGTAACAGACACTCTGGACCTGGCAGAGGCGGTACGGGGCCCATGGCAGATTACGGGCCTGGCAGCAGCAATGGAGGCCCGTAATCTGCCAGCACCCTATGACAAAAAATGGAACACACCAGCAGTGTGAGGAGACCTGAAAGTGGCACATGGCAGAGTGTGGCGATGGAGACAGCAGCAATGGGAGGCCGTACAGGGACCCATGAGACACTGTGGACCTGGCAGCAGCATGAGAGGCGGTACAGGGGCCCATGGCAGATTAGGGGCCTGGCAGCAGCAATGGGAGGCCCGTAATCTGCCAGCACCCTATGACAAAAAATGGAACACACCAGCAGTGTGAGGAGACCTGAAAGTGGCACATGGCAGAGTGTGGCGATGGAGACAGCAGCAATGGGAGCCGTACAGGGACCCCATGAGAGACTGGACCTGTGCCAGCACCCTATGACAAAAAATGGAACACACCAGCAGTGTGAGGAGACCTGAAAGTGGCACATGGCAGAGTGTGGCGATGGAGACAGCAGCAATGGGAGGCCGTACAGGGACCCATGAGACACTCTGGACCTGGCAGCAGCATGAGGAGGCGGTAATAGGGGCCCATGGCAGATTAGGGCCTGGCAGCAGCAATGGGAGGCCCGTAATCTGCCAGCACCCTATGACAAAAAATGGAACACACCAGCAGTGTGAGGAGACCTGAAAGTGGCACATGGCAGAGTGTGGCGATGGAGACAGCAGCAATGGGAGGCCGTACAGGGACCCATGAGAGACTCTGGACCTGGCAGCAGCATGAGGAGGCGGTACAATTGGGGCCCATGGCAGATTACGGGCCTGGCAGCAGCAATGGGAGGCCCGTAATCTGCCAGCACCCTATGACAAAAATGGAACACACCAGCAGTGTGAGGAGACCTGAAAGTGGCACATGGCAGAGTGTGGCGATGGAGACAGCAGCAATGGGAGGCCGTACAGGGACCCCATGAGAGACTCTGGACCTGGCAGCAGCATGAGGAGGCGGTACAGGGGCCCATGGCAGATTACGGGCCTGGCAGCAGCAATGGGAGGGCCCGTAATCTGCCAGCACCCTATGACAAAAAATGGAACACACCAGCAGTGTGAGGAGACCTGAAAGTGGCACATGGCAGAGTGTGGCGATGGAGACAGCAGCAATGGGAGGCCGTACAGGGACCCATGAGAGACTCTGGACCTGGCAGCAGCATGAGGAGGCGGTACAGGGGCCCATGGCAGATTAGGGGCCTGGCAGCAGCAATGGGAGGCCCGTAATCTGCCAGCACCCTATGACAAAAAATGGAACCCACACCAGCAGTGTGAGGAGACCTGAAAGTGGCACATGGCAGAGTGTGTGGCGATGGAGACAGCAGCAATGGGAGGCCGTACAGGGACCCATGAGAGACTCTGGACCTGGCAGCAGCATGAGGAGGCGGTACAGGGGCCCATGGCAGATTACGGGCCTGGCAGCAGCAATGGGAGGCCCGTAATCTGCCAGCACCCTATGACTATGAAAAAATGGAACACACCAGCAGTGTGAGGAGACCTGAAAGTGGCACATGGCAGAGTGTGGCGATGGAGACAGCAGCAATGGGAGGCCGTACAGGGACCCATGAGAGACTCTGGGACCTGGCAGCAGCATGAGGAGGCGGTACAGGGGCCCATGGCAGATTACGGGCCTGGCAGCAGCAATGGGAGGCCCGTAATCTGCCAGCACCCTATGACAAAAAATGGAACACACCAGCAGTGTGAGGAGACCTGAAAGTGGCACATGGCAGAGTGTGGCGATGGACAGACAGCAGCAATGGGAGGCCGTACAGGGACCCATGAGAGAGACTCTGGACCTGGCAGCAGCATGAGGAGGCGGTACAGGGGCCCATGGCAGATTACGGGCCTGGCAGCAGCAATGGGAGGCCCGTAATCTGCCAGCACCCTATGACAAAAAATGGAACACACCAGCAGTGTGAGGAGACCTGAAAGTGGCACATGGCAGAGTGTGGCGATGGAGACAGCAGCAATGGGAGGCCGTACAGGGACCCATGAGACACTCTGGACCTGGCAGCAGCATGAGGAGGCGGTACAGGGGCCCATGGCAGATTAGGGGCCTGGCAGCAGCAATGGGAGGCCCGTAATCTGCCAGCACCCTATGACAAAAAATGGAACACACCAGCAGTGTGAGGAGACCTGAAAGTGGCACATGGCAGAGTGTGGCGATGGAGACAGCAGCAGCAATGGGAGGCCGTACAGGGACCCATGAGAGACTCTGGACCTGGCAGCAGCATGAGGAGGCGGTACGGGGGCCCATGGCAGATTACGGGCCTGGCAGCAGCAAGCAATGGGAGGCCCGTAATCTGCCAGCACCCTATGACAAAAAATGGAACACACCAGCAGTGTGAGGAGACCTGAAAGTGGCACATGGCAGAGTGTGGCGATGGAGACAGCAGCAATGGGAGGCCGTACAGGGACCCATGAGACAGACTCTGGACCTGGCAGCAGCATGAGGAGGCGGTACAGGGGCCCATGGCAGATTACGGGCCTGGCAGCAGCAATGGGAGGCCCGTAATCTGCCAGCACCCTATGACAAAAAATGGAAAACACACCAGCAGTGTGAGGAGACCTGAAAGTGGCACATGGCAGAGTGTGGCGATGGAGACAGCAGCAATGGGAGGCCGTACAGGGACCCATGAGACACTCTGGACCTGGCAGCAGCATGAGGAGGCGGTACTGGGGCCCATGGCAGATTACGGGCCTGGCAGCAGCAATGGGAGGCCCGTAATCTGCCAGCACCCTATGACAAAAAATGGAACACACCAGCAGTGTGAGGAGACCTGAAAGTGGCACATGGCAGCAGTGAGTGTGGCGAAGACAGCAGCAATGGGAGGCCGTACAGGGACCCATGAGAGACTCTGGACCTGGCAGCAGCATGAGAGAGGCGGTACAGGGGCCCCATGGCAGATTACGGGCCTGGCAGCAGCAATGGGAGGCCCGTAATCTGCCAGCACCCTATGACAAAAAAATGGAACACACCAGCAGTGTGAGGAGACCTGAAAGTGGCACATGGCAGAGTGTGGCGATGGAGACAGCAGCAATGGGAGGCCGTACAGGGACCCATGAGAGACTCTGGACCTGGCAGCAGCATGAGGAGGCGGTACAGGGGCCCATGGCAGATTAGGGGCCTGGCAGCAGCAATGGGAGGCCCGTAATCTGCCAGCACCCTATGACAAAAAATGGAACACACCAGCAGTGTGAGGAGACCTGAAAGTGGCACATGGCAGAGTGTGTGGCGATGGAGACAGCAGCAATGGGAGGCCGTACAGGGACCCATGAGAGACTCTGGACCTGGCGCAGCAGCATGAGGAGGCGGTACAGGGGCCCATGGCAGATTACGGGCCTGGCAGCAGCAATGGGAGGCCCGTAATCTGCCAGCACCCTATGACAAAAAATGGAACACACCAGCAGTGTGAGGAGACCTGAAAGTGGCACATGGCAGAGTGTGGCGATGGAGACAGCAGCAATGGGAGGCCGTACAGGGACCCATGAGACACTCTGGACCTGGCAGCAGCAGCATGAGGAGGCGGTACAGGGGCCCATGGCAGATTAGGGGCCTGGCAGCAGCAATGGGAGGCCCGTAAATCTGCCAGCACCCTATGACAAAAAATGGAACACACCAGCAGTGTGAGGAGACCTGAAAGTGGCACATGGCAGAGTGTGGCGATGGAGACAGCAGCAATGGGAGGCCGTACAGGGACCCATGAGACACTCTGGACCTGGCAGCAGCATGAGGAGGCGGTACAGGGGCCCATGGCAGATTACGGGCCGCCATGGGAGGCCCAGCAGCACCCTAAGGTACTGGGCCCAGCAGCAGATAGGCTGGCCTGGCAGCAGCAATGGAGGCCCGTAATCTGCCAGCACCCTATGACAAAAAATGGAACACACCAGCAGTGTGAGGAGACCTGAAAGTGGCACATGGCAGAGTGTGGCGATGGAGACAGCAGCAATGGGAGGCCGTACAGGGACCCATGAGACACTCTGGACCTGGCAGCAGCATGAGGAGGCGGTACAGGGGCCCATGGCAGATTACGGGCCTGGCAGCAGCAATGGGAGGCCCGTAATCTGCCAGCACCCTATGACAAAAAATGGAACACCACCAGCAGTGTGAGGAGACCTGAAAGTGGCACATGGCAGAGTGTGTGGCGATGGAGACAGCAGCAATGGGAGGCCGTACAGGGACCCATGAGAGACTCTGGACCTGGCAGCAGCATGAGGAGGCGGTACAGGGGCCCATGGCAGATTACGGGCCTGGCAGCAGCAATGGGAGGCCCGTAATCTGCCAGCACCCTATGACAAAAAATGGAACACACCAGCAGTGTGAGGAGACCTGAAAGTGGCACATGGCAGAGTGTGGCGATGGAGACAGCAGCAATGGGAGGCCGTACAGGGACCCATGAGAGACTCTGGACCTGGCAGCAGCATGAGGAGGCGGTACAGGGGCCCATGGCAGATTACGGGCCTGGCAGCAGCAATGGGAGGCCCGTAATCTGCCAGCACCCTATGACAAAAAATGGAACACACCAGCAGTGTGAGGAGACCTGAAAGTGGCACATGGCAGAGTGTGGCGATGGAGACAGCAGCAATGGGAGGCCGTACAGGGACCCATGAGACACTCTGGACCTGGCAGCAGCATGAGGAGGCGGTACAGGGGCCCATGGCAGATTTAGGGGCCTGGCAGCAGCAATGGGAGGCCCGTAATCTGCCAGCACCCTATGACAAAAAATGGAACACACCACCAGTGTGAGGAGACCTGAAAGTGGCACATGGCAGAGTGTGGCGATGGAGACAGCAGCAATGGGAGGCCGTACAGGGACCCATGAGACTCTGGACCTGGACCTGGCAGCAGATGAGGAGGGCGGTACAGGGGCCCATGGCAGATTACGGGCCTGGCAGCAGCAATGGGAGGCCCGTAATCTGCCAGCACCCTATGACAAAAAATGGAACACACCAGCAGTGTGAGGAGACCTGAAAGTGGCACATGTTTGGGGCATGATTCATGGCGGATTTAGTCAGTTGTGTCAGGAACTGGTGGTTTGAAATCCAGACTAATCCACGCCTGATTCATTTTCACAAACGTGAGTCTCTCCACACTTTGGGTGGACAGTCGTGTCCTCCGCGGAGTTACAATACCTCCTGCCGCACTAAACACACGCGCTCCGATGCCACGCTACTGGCCGGGCATGACAGCCTTTCAAGGGCAAATTCAGCTAGTTGGGGCCAAAGGTCAAGTTTCGTTGCCCAGTAGTCAAGGGGATTGTCTACCTCGGTTGGCAGGGTGCTGTCCAAGTAGGCCCAAGCCTGTTGTTTGAGGTCCTGCTCCAGGTCCACCTGATGCTGCTGCTGCTGCGCGGCTGGTTAGTAGTTTCCTCACTGCGCTGGTGAAGAAAGCTACTCATCATCGACTGCAGACTGAGGCAGCCGCTGCTGGTGGAGCTGCCACTGCTCCTACCACCCCCCCCCCTCCCCTGCTGCCATGGCAGCGGAACGCGAGCGCACAGGGCCCACAGTGTCTGAGGATGGACGTTGGCGCAGAAAGGCAGAGACCAACTGACTACATAGGTGGTTTTTATAGTACGTTATTTTGGCCTCCCTCTCAGCAGGTGTGAAAAAGGCCACCATTTTTGAACGGTAGCGAGGGTCCAACAAGGTGGACAGCCAAAAGTCATCCCTCTGTCTGATGGTTATTATTCGGCTGTCGCTACGCAAGCAACCGAGCATGCTATGGGCCATTTGTGCCAAGGAATGCGAGGGACTCCCTGCCTCCATCTCCACAGCATACTGCCACGGTGCGTCTGGGTCCTCTGTCTCCTCCTCCTCCTCCTCTACCAGATGCTCCTGCTCCTCCACTCCTGTCCGCTGAGTGGAAAAACCACCCATTTCACTCAATAATTCCTGAGCACCAATGTCCTCCTCTACCTCCTCCTCTTCTTCCTGTCCTGCCCCCACAGGGGTCATGTGGCGTTGAGATCTGTGCGCCACGTCTACCGCACCCTGACCAGCCATTGTTAACAGCATTTGTTCCAGGACGTGCAACAGAGGAATGACGTCGTTCATCCCATAGTCCTGCCGACTCACGAATAGCGTGGCCTCCTCAAAGGGCCTGAGCAAGCGGCAGGTGTCACGCATGAGCTGCCAATGGCTGACATCTAAGTTACACAGGGGAGTACCTTTATCCGCTTGTAACATCAGGAAATCGGTGATGGCCTTTCGCTGTTCGTAAAGGCGGTCTAACATGTGTAGGGTTGAATTCCACCTTGTTGCAACGTCGCAGATCAGGCGATGCTGTGGAATTCCGTTCTGCCGCTGCAGCTCAAGGAGGGTGTGCTTTGCGGTGTAGGAATGGCTGAAATGCATGCAAAGTTTACGTGACATTTTAAGATGTCTTGCAGTGGGATGGTGGATTTTAGGAACCGCTTGACAACCAGATTGAACACGTGAGCCATGCATGGCGCATGGCACAACCTTCCTTGACGCAGAGCAGAGAAGAAGGGGGGGGGGGGGGGGGGGGGGGGGGGGTGGTAGAGGCGGACATCTTTTTGGGCCAAGGACGTGCAAACATGGAGGCAAAAAGGGCGTGAACGTCCAAGTTGCTGGTGCGGCTGTGCCGGCCCCCCA